GTGTGTGAGAGTGTGTGGGTGTGTTTTTGATGACTACCTGTCTGTAAAGTAAAGAAATGGATGTGGGAGTTTTGGTTTGCTTTTATAGCCACAATGGAGGTGTCGGTCCACTTCCACTTTTGACATCTTGGTTATATATGTGTGTGTATTTTTGTATTTGCACATGTGTGTATGTGTTTATCACTGCAGTGTGTGCTGTTTTTTCCCTTCTTTTGTGTGTGCACTGTACATTTGAGCTCCAGTGCTGAGTGTGCTGTGTTTGCACAGAATCTGGGTGTGTGTATGTGTACAGTATCTGTGTGTGTGTGTGTATGTGTGTGTGTGTGTGTGTGTGTTTTGACCCTGTAACCCAACAATTATTGAATTTGCCTGATATTGATATCTGGGGGTTTAGGAAAGTCTGATAACAACATATATTAGACATAGTAAAAACAGATTAGTTTTCCTGTTGTGATCAGGATACACACTGAGTGGGACATTTCACAGCTGAAAAATCTACTTGTCAGAGCTCTCTGGTGGACAAACTATGTAATGGTGAAACTGTTTCTAAATTAGTCAAACCTAGTTTGCGTATCAGTCCTGCAATGTCCTGTTACTTATCAGCCGACATTTAGCAGATACCAATATATCTGTAATGAGGTTATATATATATATATATATATATATATGCCTACCTCTATTGCAGTGGTTCCCCAGCAAAAAGAGGAATCAAATATTTTAACTTTTATCACATATTTTGGAGGTTGGAACAGCAAGTGAACGGTCCTAGTTTGATCATTGACTGACTGTGAAGACTTTATTATCTTAACCTAAAAATAAAATCATCAGAAGGGCTTCCATAAGACAAAATCCAACCAAACAAAAGTTTGGGAACCCCGGCTTGGTTCACGCACAATTTTTTCTTCTTGGCTGATGTGAATATGAATGAGGAGAAGAAATATGAGCTTCAAAACAGTCTCTTCATTTGTACTGAATTCTGCTTCAGAGGAAGAACTGTCATTGAAAGATTACAAGCCGGTGTGCAGGGTTTTTGGCATCTGATAACCTGGGGATATAATAATACACTCAGAAATCCACAAAACAGATTTTCTTTATCAAATGATAGAATTCTTTTTTATTTCTGAGGTTATAAACTGTGTAAAACAATGAATATTTCCTGTGTGAAGTGAAACTGATTCTCTCTTTGCACTTTTATACCACGATTGACATCATAGTCATCATAGTTAATGTTATTCAGCGCTGCCTTAAACAACACACCCCACTAATGCAGCACTCTTTTTGGTCTGCTAACAGCTTTTGAAACCCCCTCTGCCACCCCTTTCCAACATTAGGACAGCAATCAACAATATTTGTAACAGTCCAACAGTCATAACCACTTTACACAGCGGTTTGCCAGGTGTGCACAGTTATGAAAGTAGGCAGTGTTTGAACTTCTCTCAAAACTCTCTCATTCTTCACAGTTACTTTCATCACTTGTTAGGGCTGCACAGTTCAGCAAAAACACCATACTGTGATTATTCAGACAGATATTGCGGTTGCGATATGATTCACGATCAGATGGATTAATCATTTACATGTTTTCTTAAATCTGGAGAACAAGAGTTGTCCACCAGGTAGTCTCTGCAGCACTACACTACACATTTGACCTTTTTCACTTTCTACTTACTCGATTTCAGTCATATTTAGATTAATGCAGCCCTACTTTTCGTGTGTGAAACTTGATACAACGGCATGAATGCTCATTGAGAGACATTGTAACGTGGCCAGCACAATGTAAATACTAAATGTTGTGCATGCTTGCTTAGTATTGTACCATTATCCCGTCTGTATGATTCATTATGTCGAGACTACAAAAACCTGCAAGAGAGCGATCAGGAGGCAGTGTGATCCAGCCAGGAAGATCCTGTGATGGCAGGCTTTTCACTTTGCCCTCGAGTGGGGACATTTTGAACGGGTATAAACACTTTTCCTTTTAGATGTGGTCAGATGTGTTAGGTGTAGTTTGTTTCAAGCATCCTAAGCCCTTAACTCTAATCGTTGAAGCATTGCTGACTGACTGAAAAGTACTCGCTTTGCAAAATCTCCTCACTTTGTTCTTTGCTAGAGTAAAACGTGAAATGATTCTCACGAAGATAGAAGAAAACACACACACACACAC